TGTTTCCCCTGCCACTGTCCCAGGAGAGCAAGGTAGGGCTCAGCGCCAGGCAGGGAGGGGCAGTCAGGGCTGGCTCACCTGCAGGGGGCAGGACCCGGGAGCTGGCATCCCCCCCTGTAGCTGTGCATGGCCCACCTGCACCCCCTGCACCTCCTGCCTCTCCAGCTGGCCCACGTGGCCAGCTGCCAGGGATCTCCCGGCCCCTTGCCCCACTGCACAGGAGAGGGGGGTGGACAAGGGAAGCAGGAAGCCAGCAGCAGGTCCCAGCCTGCCATCCCCACCCCGTGCAGGCCCAGGCTGGATGGCACCAGACGTGCCAGCTCCACCCTCCCTCCAGCAGTAGGGCAGCAGGGCAGGGCGGAGGCCATCACGTCCCGCAGCCCCACTGCAGGCAGGGGGTCCCCATGGCCGGGCCTGAAGGGGCCTCCCTCTTACAGGGTCATGTCCCCCAGCTCCGAGGCAGAGCTGGCTTTGATTCTCCTGCTGCGCCCCGCGCCCTCGGCAGGGGCACACAGAGCTGTCCCTCGGGATTCCCTGCCAGCCCCCTCCTGGCTGCGGGCTACATCACCTGGGGGCCCTAGCTCCAGGGGGCCTGTCCCAGCAGGGAGGTTCCCCTCCACTCTACACAGCTCCCCAGGCCTCCGGGCTGTGCAGCTTCCACCCGTCTCACGTCCCTGTGCCCTCAGCGCAGACTGCACTGCGGCCTGCCAGGGAGAATGGACCAAGGAGCCCCCCCCAGAACAGGGGCCTGTCTCCCGACCCCTCCCCTGCCCCACAGGCCCTGCTCACAGCACGCAGCCCCCGGCCTCCCATCACACAGTCGCCAGCCCCCAGCTCTCCAGTCCCTGCCGCTGCTCTCGCTGCACCCCCCTCGGAGCCCAGGTTCTATGGAGCGACTGTCCTGGGGGCTGCCGTCCCTCCGGTGCTGAGACAGGCCAGCGTTGCCCCTGCACAGCGTTCCTGGGCGCGGGGACGTGGTGAGACAGGTGACGGCAAAGCCCACCACAGAGAGGAGTGGCTGCCCCCGGCCCAGCCCAATGCTAGACCTGCTACGGGTGGGATGGCTCAGTGGGCTGAGGCAGGGCTAACATACCAGCCCATGGGGGAGCAGAGCTCTGCCTTGTGGCCGTGCCAGCTCCAAAGGCAAAGTGGAGGCTCATAAGAGCGGCCAGACTGGGTCAGACCAAAGGTCCATCTAGCCCAGTATCCTGTCTGCCAACAGTGGCCAGCGCCAGGTGCCCCAGAGGGGTGGACCAAAGACAATGATCGAGCGATTTGTCTCCTGCCATCCCTCTCCAGCCTTTGACAGACAGAGGCCAGGGACACCATTTTATCCCCTGGCTAATAGCCTTTTATGGACCTAACCTCCATGAATGTATCCAGCTCTTTTTAAAACTCTGTTATAGTCCTAGCCTTCACAGCCTCCTCTGGCAAGGAGTTCCACAGGTTGACTGTGCACTGTGTGAAGAAAAACTTTCTTTTATTAGTTTTAAACCTGCTACCCATTAATTTTATTTGGTGACCCCTAATTCTTTAGTTCTGGGAAGAGAGGGAACTCACCAACTATGCTCTCCGGCCTTCCAGCATTCCTAAAAAGGGTGTGTGTGGGGGGGGGGGACATGGGCCACTGTGCTTGGCTGAGCCTGGCTCCCCCACCCCACAGGTGGCTGCGTTTCAGCAATGGATGAAGCAGTTGGGACCAGGGCTTGGGGCGGGGGGCAGGGGACTGGAAGCCCCGCCTGGAGGAGGTTCCCACTGTCTTGTTCATGCCACATGGCTCCCTGCCTCTGTGGGCTTTAAACCAGGCTCCACCACAGGCAGCATCCTGTTTACCGGCTGGCGTGGCAGGAGGCCACCAGGCTGCGGGCTGAGCGGCCTGCTGGAGATGCGCTCGCTGCGGCCGGGACACCAGTGGGCGGCACACGTGGGTCCGGGGGTGGGGACGCCAGTTCTGTTTGTTTATGAAGGCGATGTCGTCTGGTGCCCAAATTAAAACCGGCTGAACCAGGGAGCGCCAGCCCTCCAGTGACACACACACATGCCCACGCACGCGGCTCTGTCCCCGTGCACCGACACCCTCGGCAAACCCAGCGCACGCCCCGTGCAAACGCCCTCCCTTCCCTCCAGAGAGCTGCCCCATGAGCATGACCCCAAATTCACCCAAAGCGCCTCCTGAGCCCCAGTGCCTCCCAGCCGTACACCCAGCTGCATGGCCAGCGCTGCAATGCAGCCACCTCTGGGGGGCAACGCGGTGGCTGTTTGGCAGCACATACCACTCGGTGCACAGAAAGGTGCATGTCCCAGCTTCCCAGCCCGTTCCCTGGCTCTTTGTTTTCCACGAGTGAGACTCTGGTTTCAGCTCAGGACCTGGTGCCCACACGGCCCCCAGGACGAGCCTCCGGGGTAGCACCCGCAGTGCAGCAGCCGCACTGGCTCCTGCAGCGCCCAGCACAAACCCAGCCCCCACAGCACAAGTGGAGCCTTTGGGTGCAGGGACCCCATCCTGTGACTGGATCCCCACCCCCCAACTGGGTGCTAACACATTCGCCCGGTGAGACCAGGGCTGGCCCCCTGGCAGTGCCAGGCAGGAAGGAAGGAAGATGGATGGGAACCCCTGCCATGGGGCAGAGCCCCCCAACCCCCCCTTCTTCAAAGCTTTCCCAAGAGCCCCCCTCCCCCTCCAGGCACTCGTGTCTGACCAAAACCCAGGAGGGAAAAGATCTGCCAGCTGGCACTTGGCAGGCAGCTCAAGGCTCTGCCACCCCACTGGGACCAGGGGGCCCCTCTGCAGGGAAGGGGCCAGCTACCAGGCCTGCAGCAGGGCATTCAGGGAGGGGGGGCTGCCTCCCACCCCTGCAGGGTCAGGCTCCTTTGATGCCCCACCCCCACCCCTCCAACCTTTGCAGCAGGTGGGGCGCCCGGGGAGGGGGAGGCGCTTACCTGTGCAGGTGGGTGCCTGCGCGGAGGGAAAGGAAGGCAGCAGGGTAAGCGGGGTCCTCGCAGACACCTCCCCGCGGGCCCTGAGCCGCCTCTGGAGGAGCAGAAGTTTGCTCTCTTCCGACCCCCCCAGCCCTGCTTGTGTTTGCAAAGCTACCCAGCAGCAGCCTCAGCAGGAGACCTAAGGCTGAGTCAACCGCACGGGGAGGAAACACCTCCCCACAGAGCGGGGAGGAAACTCGGGCCTGGAGCAAGAGCCGCCCGCTGGACCGGACTAGAGGGCCCACACCTGGGGGTGGGACAGCCTGAGAGCCCCCCAGGTACACCCTGGCGAGCCTGAGACCTGCCTGGACTGGGAGCTCTTCAGGGCCGGATCCTGGCTGCCCACGCGCAGCAGCCAGCCTGAGGGGGCCTGAGCCTGACCGGGAGGTCCTGGG